TTCTTGAGTATTTTTTTCTATTGGAACATTAAAAATATTTTATCTGTTTGCTTCTCTCCACAAAAAGAATTCATTTTGAAAGTTATAATTAGGACTGATTAGGATTATACTAAATTTCCTTATTTTATAGACTTGCTCTAGAACATTATAGAATTGGATTGGTGAACACATAAAAAATGTTTACAAAATATAGTGAGTTGAGCTCACAAATCTTGTAACTGATTACTGCTGACTTTTTTCTCATTTTTTGACGTGTTTTCTAAGTTTTTTTTTTTTTTTCTGATGATGTATACTGCACAATATTGTGAGAACTAGTGCAATGACACATACTGCCTGAGAGGCAGTCAGTGCCTAGAAAATGTTCAAAAATTATATCAGAGCTGGTACAAACTTAAACTATGATGCATGTTACAAAGACCAGTCAGCAAATTTAACGAGCTGCATGTTACTAAAATGATTGTTTTTTGGTAAGTATTTCATGATGGAGATAATGTGTGTTTCATGTCTCAGGAAACTTTCTGGCATCTTAGATTCTTAATTATATTTAAAATACCGCTTTCTGTGCTCTTTCCCATTCACAAAACATAATTTGGGAAGTAGTATTCTAAGTGATTTTTTTGTTGTTGTTATTGTTAATCTATTTGGCATTATGTTAATACATAATGTTGAAAAAATATGTTTAAATCATACAATATAATCCATCTCCCTAGAGTTTTTTATAAAAGTTGAAATAGATAATCCATATTAATTTAATATATTGCATAAACACCCAGCATAGGAAAGTAAGTTAGCAGTAGTTAAGGTCAGAATTAAGTAGGAAAGAGCTTCCAGAGCCTGTACAGGTGGCAGTGTAATGGTAATAGTAGAAATGTATGCTTCTAAACCTAGTGAGAAAGAAAATGCAGGCTACTAAATCTTAGCTGTGTCTTGTGTGCCTGAGCCTGTGAGGCCCATTTCCTCATTTCATTTCCACTTCTATACCTCAGCCCTTTAGCCCTTTAGCCCTTTGCTGCCCTAACTCTGGTAGTTGCCTACTTAATTTCCTCACCTTCAATTAGATGTCTTTGGAAAAAAGAGCAGATTTGCAAGGAAATGTTGATCTATCGTCACCTCTGAATCCTAAAATGTGGTGCTTCCAGTAAAATTGTTTCCCTTCCCCCACTTTCCTTCCCAAGTCTTGTCAATTTGCTTTGTCATTTAGAAGACACCCACCTCCATCTCCTTTTGGAAAGAATCACATGGCTAATAAGAAAGGCCCAAGGAGCCAGGCATAGTGCTGCATGCTTTTAATCCGGTACTCAGGAGGCAGAGGCAGGTGGATCTCTGAGGCCAGCCTGGTCTATGTAGAATGTTCCAGGCCAACTGGGACTACAGTTGCAAAAAAATAAAAAAAATAAAAAATAAAAAAAACTGAGGTTTATCTGCTTTAATATACTTTAATATATCTGTCTACACTAAATTGAGATTTGGTGAGCTAATTGTGTGGTGTCTCTAATATGTGAATAATAGATAAAATAATAATTTGATTTAGGTCACTAAGCTATAACCTCCATGAAGACATCCACTGTGATTCTTTGTACATCCTCTACCACAGCATCCATGCTGAGCATGAAAGCTCTTGTTTAAAACTCAATAAACAAAAGGTGAATTATCTTCAAAGTACAGACATGATCATGGGACAGTTTACTATCAAAGAAATTTCAGACTTGCATTAAAATTTTGTCTTTATATTATATGGGTTTGAGGGTTTTATTTGGTTTTTTTGTTTTTAAGATACTCGATTTGGGGCCTGAACAGATGGTTCAGCAGTTAAGATCCCATACTGCTCTTGCACCCAAGTTTGGTTCCCAGCACCCATTTCGGGTGGATCGCAGCTGCCTGGAACTCTTAACTCCGGGGAGATTTGACACCCTCTTCTGGCCTCCACAGTCACCTACACTCAACATGCACATACCCACACACAGACAGATATATACACTTAATTAAAAGTAAAATAGGGAGTGGAAAGATGACTCAGCTGTTAAGAGCACTGGCCACTCTTGCAGAGGACCCGGGTTTGGTTCCCAGCACCCACATGGCAGCTAACAACTGTCTGTAACTCCAGTTCCAGGGTATCTGACACCCTCTTCTGATCCCTGCTGGCATTGCATAACAGAGGTACACACATACAGGCAATACACTCACACACATAAAATAATAAAAATAGTAAGTAAAATATTTATAAAATAAAATAAACCTTAAAAAAGACACTTGGTTGGTTTTTAAGTTAATGATACTATAATGTTGCTATAAAGACATTTGTGTGGTGGTTAGGCTGTTTGTTTCTTCTGGTGGCTGTTAACTTGGTTTTGCTTTGCTCTAGTCGGGAACATGCCCTGTTTGCCGCCGTCATTTCCCACCTGCAGTCATTGAAGCATCTGCAGCTGCATCCTCTGAACCTGATGCTGACTCCCCACCTGCAAATGACAGTACTACAGAAACTCCATAAGCCCTAATGTTGAAATGAGATCATTCTATCAAAGTAAATCTGCAAATTCCTTCTAAATCTGATGTGCAAATAATTATATATAAATATATTTAAAATGCTATATATAGTATATGCCATAGTTTAGAAAGAGAGTATTAAACTTTCTAAACTGAATTTAGGTTTGCAGAAAGTACTAAACATTTTCAAGCTGAATGTTAAAGCAGTGCATCCATTTTCTTTAGTTGAATATGTTGGTGTTAATTGTAAAGTCAAGCTTATGGATTAACTCTCCCCAAAACAGTCATCTCTGTGGCACGTATTACTGGTTTTGTCTAAAGTCCCGCCACTAAGAGATTATAATTAAGCTCTCCTATTTGCATCAAATGTGAAGACTGATCACAACAGTAGTGAAAGTTTGGTTTCATTGGAAATAAATTGAATTCTAAAGCATGCTTTTTCACTGGTCCCTTTGCTTTTGCTGCATCAAAACCTCTTAGTTCATAATACTGAGAAGGTTTTAAGATAGTATCTACTTTGCATTTTATTTTAAAATTAGAATTCTTGATCAAACAAAGGCTGAAATTTTGGCCAGAACATTAAAAACAATAAAATAAAATCTTAGATGGTTAGGTGATGAGGTATTCAGTAAACATTGGATGTATTTTAAGTAACATTAATAAGACATGTGAAGAAGCTGGTGTGCCCAATGCTTGGCACAGTTAGATGCATTTGGCCTTATGAACCACTGTCTAAGCTCTTACCACTCTGCTTCTACCTTGCTACTTGGGGAATACTTGAATGTCCAGAACACTCTTGGCATATTTGTTTAAGTTGAATGTAGTTAGCTTTAGGTAGTTTGGGTTCTGAAATTTTTCAGAAGGTCTGAAAACTTGCACAGGGTCATGCTTATAATTATATAGCTCCAAATAAAAATTGCACAGCTTTTAGGTGATCACATCCCATAGGCAAGTTTGTACAAATATGGGTATAACAGATAGCTTACAGATGTGATTTGATATCCATGCTAGAGGACAGTGACTTCTAGAATATCACATTTAAGCAAGTAAAATAGTAAAGTGCATAATAAGTGTACACTCTCCATGTGGTCCACTCATAGATTAGCTTCAGGATGATTTATATGGCTTCCCAAATGCACAGTTTCATTTAATTTGTATAATTTCTCTGAGTATTTATATTCTTTCCCTTTTCTCCATTCTTAAAAATAAATGAATTTTTGCTGTTGGCACATTTGAGGCTTAAATATAAGGAACATAACACTTGCATTCTGATTTTTGCATATATTGTAAATGTGGCTGGTATTTACAGCAAAATACTGTGTATCCTTTTATGGGTAAAACAAAAGTGAACATTGCATGCATGTAATGTGGTGAATTTGTAATTTAGGGGTTCTTTGGGCTTCTGTGACTTTGGATGCTTACATTCAGGCCTTAATGTTGCTTTAGCTAGCATGTTTTCCTTCCAGTGTATATAGTCATCATTGTATAAACTAATCTTTGCTTGTTTTCTACTCTGTGATCTTTCCGTACCATATTTCATTGATGATGAGTTAGTGTCAAGAAGTCACACCATATTAACATAATTCTCATGTGTATATTGTGGAAATTTGTGGCTAGTGTGATTTTTTTTGTTTTTGTTTTTGCTTCCTTTCAAGTACTGTTGATTGGTTGTGGCACTTACTGGTTAAACTTACATCGCTACAGATTGCTCTGTAATAAGCCACACATTATATTTAGGCAGTATTAAGGGACCTTGGTTTTCCTTCTAGGTAGCAGCTGTCCCAAAGAAAATATTTTTTCTTTGCCTATTAAGATTTAGCTATTATCTGCCAGTTGTTAAGAGGTTTGGTTCCAAACTCGACCAGAGATTTGAACGTAAGATAGCTGTACTTTTTGCTTTCCATCTGTTACCGTCCTTCATTGTTGGCTCCCTACTATGTATAAACAGCTGCTATGAAGGAGAAAGTTGAATAAGACTTAGTTTAAATTTTTTTAATGAGAAATGAGGTTTTAGGATGTTCATGGTAACAAGCCAGTATAAGCTGAGGCTGACAAGTTCAGACCCAATATATTATTTGATCTTATCTTGGATCCTTTTGAAAAAGCTAAGAATATATGAAGGTAAATTAGAAATAGTAAAAATATTAATAAAATATCATTTATCTTATTTCTCTATTGTATGTTGTGACTTGACCTAATAATTTTATTTTTGGACATTTTCTTCTTGTAATATGAATGCTGATATTTAAGGTTAGATTCATGTGGTTTTCTTTTGTATTTCTTGTTTATCTCTAAGCTAACTAACTTTTAAGATTATTTGTGATCAGAATTTATATATAAGCTGTTAAATATATATGAGCTGTTAAAATGGAATGCAAGTTTTTCAAAAGCCCAGGTCTAAATGTAATGATTGGTTTATTGTTCTTCAATCCCAGCCCATCATTTTCTGTGTAAATCATAAACAATAAACAGGATATACTCAGTGTTCATTTCTAATATTTAATTGTATAATCTTATCACTTGTATAATATAACCCTTCAAGGATTTAGAGTTGAGAACAAAGAACACAACTATCAAGGAAGTGTAGACTAGGCTCCTGGCATAATTTTCTCTAAGAAATCTAAGAAGACCCCACAGATACCATTACAAGAATGGTTGGTGGACTCGCCATTGGAGGGCTCTGAAGGAGTAGCTGCCCTTTTGTATCTGACATTCTCGGGAGTCCCATAGGTTTCTGCAGAACCTGATTTCCACATTGACTCAGACTGTGAAAACGCCAAATTCTGGGAAGGGGGCCTCACTTTAGTGGTTTTCTCTAAATCAGTGATGGGATTGTTATCAGACAAGCCCACTGAGAAAAATATCTTTTGCTCAAAGGGTTCAAAGATTTATTTCGGAAGAGTTGGTTGGATGCTGATAGGTTATGTTCATGTTAAACAAAAACTAATTTCGTTTAGAAAGTTGAGAGTTCTGATCTTCCTAATAAATGCTAAAAAAATACAGTCTTAGAGTTAGAAATAGCAATGGTAAATATGCCCCTGTTGTAGTGCCAAAATCCTTTTATAATGGCATAGAATTTTCTGTCTAGCCATTGCTGGGTAGAGAGCCACCTTGCATACCTGCAAGGATACATTTCATTGTTAGAAAGGTCTCAAGCAAATGTCTCTATAAATAACATAATTCTAGACTGAAAAATCCTTCTCTTCTGTGGCCACCTCTTCATATCCTTCCTCAAGCTTCATACTGTTTGAAATCTTCTGGTGCATCTGTCCCAGGCCAGCCTGGTATTGTCTCTTTCAGTTCCTCTCTTAAAACATTTTGCTAAGAACTTAAACTAGTTCTTCTGTAATCTAACTAGAATGGGGTTTGGTATTGTTGCCAACTTTAATGATTGCCCTGTAGTTGTCAGTGTGTGTTGTTACTAGTATTGCTGCCATCATCATTAGGCAAGCTTATTAAATGGCTGTTTCTTGCTAAAGAATTTCACAGGCATTGTTGCTAAGCCAGTGTCTAACCTTTACTTCTACAATTTCTTTATAACCTTATTGAAGGGCAACATCCATTCTCACTAAACTTAACTTGTAAACATCTTGGTGTTTTCAGATTCATCTTCTCAGCTGTGCATTAGTTCCAATTTTGATGAAACATACTCTGAATATTTAGTGGCTGTGTCCCAGTTTCGGGTAAATATTGAGTCAAACAGGATGGAATACAAAACCTCAGTATAGCGCTATAGACAGCCCTACAGGTGACTGATGCATTGGTACTTCTGGTACAGCAACTGCAGATCACTGTGTATGCCATTTCTTCCTTTCCTGAAAAAGACATAAAATTTATGTCATGTTTAAAAGATGTGTCTTTGGAACTAGTTGCTAGTGTACCAAATCAAAAAAAGAAAGGAAGTCAGCTGGAAATGACTTATTCTTAAGGAAACCATGCTAACCTCCTTTTCTTGCTGCTTGTGTGCCATCTGTTTAGTAGGCTCTTCTATAATTTGATAAGTTGTCAATGTCAAACTTAATCTGAATTTTTAGAAACTACCCTTTCCCTTCTCAAAAATTGTCTTTGAAATAATATGACATTGACAAGTCACATAATTACTGTGCTTCTAATTTTGCTATAAAGCAATAAATCTAAATTAGGTTCTTTACTATTGTTTGTTCATGGATAGAGGTTTGAAATGTTTTCTGTTATTGTTCTTGTTGATGCACAGTTCTGAGGCAAATACTTGGTATTTAGTTTCCATCATTGCTTTTAGCACTGCCTTTTGGAGTTTGATGGACATCACACATATAAATTCTTAAATGCATCTTAATCACCTCAAGAGTTAAGAAATTTTGACAGAGTTAACTATTAAAATAAAATTTGGGGCTAGAGAGATGACTCGGCACTTAACATTCTTCCAGAAGACCAGAGTTTGGTTCCCAGCACCCACATTAGGTAGCTCATAACCACCTGTAATTCCAGGGGATCCAGCACCCTCTTTTGACCTCTCTGGGCATCCACGCATATGTGGCATGCATTTGCACATGAATACAATTTTTTTAATAAAACTTTAAAAAATAATAAACTTTAATGTTTTAAATTTGGCTAAAAGACTAAAGACCTGGATAATATACTAATAATAGGAATATGGCTGTTCATTATATGTTATTTTAGTCAACTATAGTTTTTATAGTGAAAATCTGTGGGGAGGTATCTTCATCCTTTTTTTAAAAAAGTATTATTTTATGTGGATGTCTGTATTGCCTGCATGTATGTAAGTGCTACCTGTGTTATGCATTACCTGTGGAGGTCAGAAGAGGGCATCAGATCCCCTGGAACTGGAGTTATGGACAGTTGTTAGCAGCCATGTGGGTGCTGGGAGCTGAACCCAGGTCCTCTGCAAGAGCAGCCAGTACTCTTAACTGCTGACCATCTCTCCAGCTCCATAGTCTTCATCCTTTAAGATGCTACCTTTTAGCCTTCCATTGTCAGCAAGAGAAATTGTGTTTCCAGGGATCCTGGAAACAGTCTCCTGCAGATTGAGAGGGATGACTGAATAAAGCAGAAGAGCAATCAAGGGTGATCCTTGGCAGCAACCTTGAGCCTCCACAGCCATTAGGATTTCTTTTCTTTTGATTTTTAACAGAACTCCTTTATAAGATTCATTGTTTAAATGTGCTTTTACACTGTAACAGTCCCTATTTACAAAGTACTTACTAAATATAAATGAGTATTTAGCCCTTTGTCATAACTGATCTTCATCATAAATCTGGAAGATTGGTTTTATTGTTCCAACTTTAAAAATAAGTGAATATGATCAAAATACATTGTATTAAATTCTCAAAGAATTAATAAAAATATTTTTAAAGAAGTTCCAGAGGTGATCAAAGAGCCCTGGTTTTTCCACATCACACCTTTGTTCGTTCATAGAAACAGCCTCTCTCATCTCTGATCAGTGTTCTTTTAGTTGTTTGAGATGTACTCCCATTTTTTTTTTTAATGGGAAAAAATAGGATCTTTTCAGAACTAGAAAAGTATTTTTTCCCTTGGATTATTGTAACCAAATCTCCATATCTCTGGATCCAAGAGTTTTTGCATTGGCAGATTCAGATAACTTGCCAATGAAAAATATTCTTACAAAGAAATGTATCTGTACTGAACATGTAAAGGCTTGCTTATCACTATTCCCTAAGTTTACATTGTAATAGGTTTTATAAGTAATGTAGAGATAATTAAGGATGTGTGTAGATTATTATATGCAAATACTACTATGCAGGGTCCTGGAAACAATCTCCTATAGATTGAGAGGGATGACTGAATAAAGTGGAAGAGCAATCAAGGATGATCTTTGACAGCAACCTTGAGCCTCCACATGTACACGCAGACATGTGTATGCATGTGCATGTGCACCTACATGCATGCACATATGCATACACATACCACACAGGCACACAAACATAAAAATAGTAAAAATTCTTTTAAAAGAACCCACGTCATATGGACAGTTGCTATACCTCATTTCTACTATGTAGTGCCTCAACAAATAAGCCATGCTCTTAACTGGGCCAAGGACCACTAATCCTGGATCTCTATCCCAGAAATTGCAATGTTCTAGGTTTGGTGCTGTTTCAGAATATTAAAGGTTAGATTTAGTTTAAATTCACACTTAAAGCAGATGAAGATAGGAATGGAGAAGCTTTCAAAGTCAGCTTTGTCTGGAACGCAAATTCTAGCCTGAATTTGGATCATGATGAAATACAAAAATGTCCATTTGCTTATAACCCACCTGAAATAATGTGCCTGCAATTTTTTAAATCAAGTAATGAATCTGAAAATACTGCATTAGGACATGTCAAACTGGCATCTTACTTGAATCTTCCAAGAAACACCACCTACTCCAACAAATTAATATTTATATAACCTTTCCTTAGTCCTTTTACTAAATATTTACCAAATGTCTAGTGAGGAGACTGCAGTGCAGCCTCATCTGTGTAACCAGATTTCTTCTATAAGGATTCAGTCTTGGCCTTAGGAGTGCCAAGCATGCAAAAACTGTAGTGTGGTTGACCAAGCACACAACCAAAGTAGGGAGAAAGCATAAGTGTTAAATTCTCTCAAGGGACTGTTAGCTACCAGCAAATACCTTCAAGCCAAAGGATCCATTGCTAGGTTGGGGATAGATCTCTAGTAGGTTTCTACAGGCCCTCCAGCAGGACAAGATGTCTCAAAGCCAGGACATTTTCAAAAGAGCCGTGGGACTAAGCAGAATGGAGAGAAGCCAAACAGTTTCATTTTCTCTGTTATGTTTTATTTTTTGATCATCTTTTCCATTTCCTTTTCCATTAAAACAGTTTCTCATAAGCATCCACTGTGGTTTTTACTTCGAAAATGGAACAAAAATCGGGCAGTTCTGAAGCATTGATTTCCTGCTGGCAAAATAGTTCTCTGGCAGTTTCTCATAAGCATCCACTGTGGTTTTTACTTCGAAAATGGAACAGAAATCGGGCAGTTCTGAAGCATTGATTTCCTGCTGGCAAAATAGTTCTCTGATACGAAATACTGTGTAAGTTTTGGTGACCATGCTGGTAGATGAAGGTTAGAACAACAAACCTTAAAATTGCCTTACCTAACCAAGGGCTTGACAAGCAGTAAGTAAGCACCTCTAAAATGGCCATACTCCCTGCACTGTGGCTCTCACTGTAGCTGAATGAGCCAAGCAAACCCACACTGGGCCCCAAGTGCTCTGCAGATGCATTAGTTGTTTTAGGATAGCCTCTGCCTACCTCAGCCAGTAGCACCATGGTACCCAAATCTGTCAAATCTGGTCATGTCAGGGGGGGCAAAAATGTGCAGTTCTGTAGGTTCCTCTTCCTCTGCCTCCCATAGCTGTACAGTGCATCTATCTTCTGCCATTCCCCATATGAAGCCCTGGAAACCCTGTAAAGCTTATTTAAAAGAAGCAGCGTAGAGAGCTGAGAAAATGGATTCAACATAGTACCTACACAGCCATTCT